AAAAAATTGGCATTTTGGACCGAAGCGTTCTAGATCGAACGTTTTGGAAACGCAATTAACCATTTGCGAACTGGTTATTGTGACATCGAAGGGTTAAAATGAAATATCTGGAACCCTTGCAAGCTGCACGTGTGTGTGTGTGTGTGTGTGTGTGTGTGTGTGTGTGTGTGTGTGTACTAGATAGACAAAGCCGCACTCTTAAGAGTGAATTATGAAACTCATTGTTTTGTGCATTACACATGTTTTGGCCTCATTTATCCAGATACTTTCATCGCAAATGCAGATGAAACAACTTGAATTTCATTCTGCCAACAAACCATCGCATTGCCGCAACGTGATCGTAAAATGTCGACGCGGTTCGAATCGAAAAAGATATCTTCAGTCGATCATCATTTGTGTTTCAATAATGGATTACCAAACAATACTACATTATATCAAAGCTGTTAATATTCATAATTGTTTCTATTTCTAGGAGAGAAGAAATATAAGAGTGTGTTATAAGCGCGTCAAATTCTTACTTAATAAGATTATCTGAAAAATCAACTTATGGAAGATTATACCTGGTTACATTTTTAAATACTTAATAATTAAGAGTCGGTCAGAAAAAAAAAGTCCGTATGATACATTTATATGGAAGAATGAATTGTTTTGATCTACGAATAGATATACTTTGCGAGAGTAGATTGATGTAAAAGAGAATGATAGGACGCTTTAAATAGAGGCGAGATCCTGTTTAGTATAGTAATGTCTCGTTGCTAGTCCATCTATCGATCCTCCATTGTTGCAACCAGCTGTCGGCGCTAAAACAAGCGTTGGCAGCCGTTCGCTAATACCAACAGATCAAACTACGTCATTTATTATCGTCCAATTGATGAGGTAAATTGCCGTAAGAATTCGTGGCTCGTCGCCGATTTCGTGCCGTGAACTAGTAACGAGACACGACCGTGTAGATTACAGAATGATAGCGAGAGGTCGCTTTATCCAGGAGTTACAGCACGTAGAACTGTTTTAGAAATACGATGGTAAAAAAGTATATTTCGGCGTTCGTTCTGTCGGATACAAGACGAACGAAATTTCTCGTCGAAAATTCATGCCACCTCGAACGTTTCCATTCGTAGCAGTACACAGAACTCGAGACACGATCGCGTTTTAATCTTATCGTGCCTGTCCACTCGTGCTACTAGTAACGTAAACTTCGTTGCACAAATATTCGACATTGTTAGGCGATTTTCAAATTCTCGTGTGAAGATATTTTTGTCACATGTTTTTTCTTTTTTTTCCTGTTCGTTTTTATTCGGTTTCACGCGTTCTCTGAGACGGAGCTCATAGACAAAAACGAGCCACCTTTGCAGAACCAAGAAACACAATTTCCCGGTAAATCGCATATTTCGTTCTGTCACGCTATTTTCTTCGTCTGTATAGCTTTTTTTTTTCTTTTATCTTTTGTATCTGTAAAGATTCGCCGATGTACCTTACACGGCCAATCGATTGTTCGTCGAGTAACGTGAAGGGAATGAAAAACAATCCTCTGCGAAGCGTAAAATCGAAAAGGCAAGCGAAACAGCAGCATAATAAACACCGATCAGTTTTTGTTCGTTTATTCTAAGGATAAGAATGATTACTGCACATTTAAGTAGCGCTAGTCATTGTGAGTACAACGTTCCACTCTAAACAATCGGTTTAAACATTAGTGTACAACATGCAACTGAAGCGCACTACGAAACATGTTAAACAAAATACGTACATTATTATACATACCCATGGCCAGACCATCATCATTTTTGTTATTTACAGAAAATGTGACTGCATAACGATTTTGATATATGTATGTGTACATAAGAAAAATGCTGTTGTCGATATGTACATAGAGAACAAGTACGATACACCGACACGTGTACTGTACTGAAGCAATTATTATTTGTAACACAAGTGTTCGATACAGTTTGAAGGGCTGAATTCTTAACGAACTTCAGATACGTTACGTGGGCGATATCAAACTGTATCAACTGTTATATACAATAAATAAATATATATATATGTGTGTATTTATATATATATATATATGTTTGCTAATATATGTATTATACTATCTCAATTTTATGTCGTGATCATTTCACATATATACCACTTCTAAAACAATTGTTAAGTGAATGTTATTTAATCAAGCAAACAGTTACGTCTGTCATTGAACATTTAATGTTGCTGAAGCAGTAATATTTTTATGATAATTGCCTTTCACTACCATTATACATAGAAGCACTGGCAAGTAAGTCACAGAAGTATTCGTATTCTCACAACTATTAATTTCAACTAGTATATTTATAATATAAACGTGACGATAGTAATATTTCTCGTATTACAATTGTACGTGGATTAAATGTCTCTACTTGAACAGTGAAAATAGTATCCGTAGCGTACGCTGAAATCTCTGCACGAACACACGGTCAAAATATGATTTCAAGATTTTTCTACAACGCGAGAAACAATTGTTAACCTCCAAACATGTCTACAATTTTTCTCATTTATAATTATATTATTGTTTTATGATTAATTAATTAATTATGATTCCAATCACATTTTTTACTAACTTTCCCACCACCTTCCGTTACCGTCGTGCATTTTTCTTAGAGTATACCTAATATCTAGTGTTAACGTTATACCAATTGCATACAGGAAATGCACTGTAGGTTTAACAAATTTAAAACATGAGTAAACAATTTAGTGAGTAGTCTTGTATTTATGTTTGTATCTGGCAGACTTATTTTTTTTTTAGAAACTATCAATTATACTTAATATTATAACTATTAATATTTTTTAGAAACTATATATATATATCAAAAATATATTTTCTTTTTATATGATCTTCACTAATTTATCAAAATTTACTTTACTATTGAATATAGTTATTAAAAATGGATGGTATTTATGCCAAGTTCGCCTTATGCGCCAAGTTCACATGGAACAGCTTAGAATGCCTCTAATGAATTCCATAGTTGACATCTATTTACTATTCTCTCGACGTTCTTCGACTCGTGATAAGAAACGCTAATGAAACTATTCGAGTCGATTTCTCCCTTCTTTTTAACTTCTTAGGAACAAAATATTAGGTTGTTCCATATGAAATGTCCGACTTTACAATACTAATATTACAACGTATTTTTGAAATTATTTTATAATCAATTGATATCAATTTACTAATAATCAACGTGATCTTCGTATACGACTCTTGTGTAAATGGAAAAATACGAAAATAACAATTTTGTAAACGGAGTATGTGAATGACTAAACAATGTAATTTCTATTACATCGAAAGATTTGTAATTTATTGACAAAATATGTCGATTACGATCATGAAAAATTATGTTTGCTTAAATGACTAACCATTTTAAAGAATCTTGGATATTGTAAACAAATGATCTTCAAATATTCTACTGACTTACTTAGCTTAACACAAGTTAAGAGGGATTGTATAAGAAAATTGTATCAGATCAAGAAATAAGAAACAGATTTTTCTAATCTTTGTAAAAATTGTGGTTGAATGGAACATAAAATAATTGTGCATGCACCAAACGTGTAACAATACGATCTAATTGGGGGATCAATTTTTTATGGTTTACTGTACTCTGATTTTTATTCTTTAATGCAGGGCTCGGGATTATCGAGCACGCAAAATACAAATATAAATTGCTGAAAAAATACTTGTGAGCCTAAAAATAACTCTGCAACCGACTGTGTATTTATATTGTCACTTAATTTTTCAATGTTCGACGAATGTACCTAATTTAGTAAGAACAGGAAGCATTGATTTTTCTGAACACGATTACGTCAATTCTGATCAATAAGTGTCTAACTATTAATTTTATATTGATGTAAATATTTCTGACGACATAAATGTAATAACTACATTAGTATCATCAACTGCATGTAGATATTAAACGACACAGTAAATAATATTTTGCAGTGTCTAATGATATGAAACAATGGAATAAAAGTATCTAAACCAATTTATTAGGTTTAGAAAATTAAACAAAAAGAAGAAGAATTTGATCATAAAGCGCATCCCATCGTCGCACTTGATAGCGAACGTCTGTTCATTGTTAATATTATAAACATATCTTTTTAAGGAATTAATAAGTGTAAGAAAACTTTGAATGTTTAGTGACTATAATATTAGTGTTCCTTTTCGACTAAAGGACTTAGCTAGGTAGCTACTGGCAAAAAAACATAGATCAAACAAATTTGCAAATTCAAATAACGGTTGATAACAGCTTGCCTGAGGGGATTCCTATAGTGTGCTCCTATGGTGTCTGCCGTAGTATACAGGTGCTGTAACCACAGAACACACTGACGTATTGTGCCCTCTACTTAATCTATATTCGTGTGCATATCCTAATTACACAAAAAAGGTATTATAAGCTCTACAATGATCTGAACAGACCCTAACGTTCTCTTTCTTTTTTTTTCTTTTATAGAATACACAACAGTATATTCACAAAACTGAACATTTCATTATCATAATATTCTGCGTCTTTTAACACCGTCATAACTATAATCTGACCCAATACCATAGCAGAGTGGAGAACAATCAATTAAATTAGTCAAAAAAAAAACTTGGAAGAAAAAACAAAATACAGTCTATAAAGTATTCGTGAAGTACAATGATTAGCAACTCTTGGTGCTTGAAATATAGGACGCAAGGATTTTCTGGGATCGCATCGTTCGCCGTTGCACCGTTCGATGCGTTCCGAATCTCGTGGATGCAATTTATCGTTCAAATATCGAAGACATGGGACGATTTATCAGGTCGTTGAAAGACGTTGTTTTTTTTTCTTTTTTCTTTTAGACGAGTACGATGCAGTTGCGATCACGTGGAATTCTGTAGGTGTGCTCGTGCAACGAATCGGCGGAACGATGGTTCGAAACAAAATGTTACAGCGTAACGAACGAATGTTGAAATCGTTACGTCCTATATTAATTGAATTTACACCGCATTTAATTACCCGAGCTTGAGAGCCTGGCCGCCAGCGCGGAGGCCCTCTTCACCCAAGAGAGTGACTTGTTCTTCCTCACGGCTGGGGTCTGCCATCTGCGACACGACACCTCCATGCTCAGCCTGGCAACAGACACATGTCACCTCTCTTTTGCCCTATCTCCCGATTGGTCTCATCATATATCTCGTCAACAAAATTTATAAGACTCACCAATCTGAATACAGACGATTATTAAACCATTCGGTCAAGGAATAGAAAGCGGACAGAAAGAATGATGAAGGATTAGAGAACTTGCTGATCATACGTTCCTGATGATTAACAACTATATGGCATTGTTTAGGCTCTGTTTAATATTTCATTATACGCTCGACTCGATCGATGATGCAAGAATAATACCGATACAGTATGCAAGAACGATCGGAATGATCGGAACAAAAGACTAATCGGAATGGAACATGGGTATTGTGAATTGTGCGTGCACGAGCACTGAATTCGAATCCGTGCAACTTTGTTTCGCGTGCACTCGAAAGACGATTGATTTCGAAATCATTAGAAACAACGATCATTTTCAATGAAAATTCGGTGGTTTGCGAACTATTTAACGTAGACGAAGTTTTTTTAGTACACATTAATACAGATACACAATCCAGTAATGCTGGATAAAAACCTTGATTTCTTTTTATTTCTAATTTTTTATACGTGAAAATTTGTCTTAACATATTGGCGAGGTTCTTCCAATTGGCATAAATAAACGGCAGACGGCATCAAATGTCAAACGGTCAAGGCAGGTCCCTCGAGCTCCGGTCCGCAAAAACTCAGACGCGGTGCGGCGATGCCATAAGTTTTGAATTTCTAATTCTTTGCATATGAAAATTTGTTTTGACATATTGGCGAGATTCTTCAAATTGACATAGACAAACGACAGACGGAGTCAAACGTGAAACGGTCAAGGCGCGCCTCGAGCTCTGGGTCCGAAAAAATCCGGCGCGGTACGGCGAGGATTGAGAATCGAGGATTACTAATCGAGTTGCGAGCATCCGTTGCGATCCATTTTTCTCGTTGAACAATAATTTCATTTTTGGAAATAAGAAAAGCGAATCACAAGCAAGAACGTCACTCACCAGATTTACTTCCTTGTGCCTTTTTTTTTATTTCCAGAAATGTAATTGTAATGTAAAGTGTAGCAAGTGCTCGTCTTAATAGTTTGTAAATAAAGTCTTCCAAAATCAATTTGTCACATGGCGGGAATGAGAGAATTGCTGTATCCATAAATTTTGTATAAACTCAGCCACGTTTCTTTTTGATCGTAGCGTAATCCAGGCAATTTATTACCAATATCATTTATTGTAATTGCAAATATCGTATCAAAATAGTTGCGGAATAGTAATAGTTGCGGAACTATTAGGGAGAATTTACTGTAATAAGTATAATTAAATCGAGTACTTGGGAAAAGTGTCCAACGCTGATTATGAGTAAAGCTTTATTAGGTTGCCCGGGCCCAAAAACTAATAATTGCTATAAAATAATTTTTTAATTACATCCATTACAATGGATATCTAGCAATGGATATCTAACCAAGGCGTCTTTACATCTTGATAAAATAGCGAAATAGCAAGAAATTAATAATTAGATTGTTTGTCTAGCTTATAAAATTTTTTACATGAAATATAACATAGACATTGAAACTAGTCTCCTAAATTCGATCATTTATGTAATTTTGAAAATATTTTTAACCAACTACGTATACGTATAGCGTTACAATCTATTATAGCAGATTAACGTGTTAATCACATTCCCAAAATTATTCTCGAATTTTTCACCCAAAATATGAACGTATTTTTGGAGATACATTCTCAAGTGGTCCAAAATATGGAAATCTTCCTTACAAAATATTTTTCAAATCATTTTCCATGCAACTTTCAAATATATTCATTCTACGTAGTAACGTCGATATAAATGAATGTTCACATTTGCAAAGAGCTATTTTACTATATAAAACCTATTTTTAAACGCAATAAATTGTACGATTTCAGCTGTGACTCAAACTTTATTCACTTTACTCACTGCGAGCCTATTAATAGACTTTTCAATAACCGAGATATCTGTATCAGCAGCTCGATAAATTTCATTTAAGTAGCAACTTCAGAAGAAGTTGTTACGTTGTATTATAGATAATTTGTTGAATTATAGATAAAATTGTTATATCGCGTTTTTCACCTATCGATCTTCGATTTAAAAGATACTTTTAAACATTTTAATTGAAGACTTTTTTCTAAGATTAATCACTTTTCCCTCGATTGATAAAGCTGAAGTGTTAAAAGAGCTATTAGAAAACTGCCGAAAGACAACATGTTAATAGACTTATGTCTTTAGAAGAAAAATACACTGTTTTAATCAGTTAAACTTTGCTAGAGGAGATAATATACCAACTCATTGTTTCTACTTCATCGAAAGCCGTACGTACTGTTTCCCAAAGCACTCGTATGCATAGTTGTGCTAAACAAATTACGATAAGAGTACGTAAATACTTGTGTGTATGCTTATACTAAAAGGTGCACGGATTAAAATACAGTTACTTGCACATATATACCAATCTTCAAATACCCACGAAATGGAGTCGAACCGAAATATTGTTTTTCACGCATCAAGAACAAATGCACGTTACAACTACGACTGTCATAAAAAAACTTTTCGAATCTGTCAAAAGAAGGTGACAGTCATTATACAAGCTACTATTGAATACCGTATTTGAAACGTAAGCCGAGCAAATTACGTGAAAATATGTTCTTTTCGTTGGGAAATATTCATGTTTGCATACTAATTCTGTATAAATAGTAAACTATACATATGTATATTACTGGACAGAAGTCTAAAAGAATTACTAGAATAGTTTCATTAGTTATATTTTAGTATAGAATATTATACTAGAGTTCTATTTTAGTGTAGAAGCTTTAGTACACATAAGTACTATTCTTCAGACGAGATATTTGTTTTCATACTTCTATCTGGCAGTAATACACATGTGAACATTATCACTATATTTTAAAAATTGTACTCTATCTACTGACATGAGTTGAACTAAACGAAAGGTATATAAAAGTATGTATTATCATTATTTACCATGATAATAGATAATATAATTCACAAATCCAACTGTAATGTAACAGTATTATTATGAAAAGCAGAAATTTGCGTCCACACTATACTATGTATAATGAAAGCTGATTACAATCAATAATACAAATATTACCAATATATATGTATGTTACATT